CGACAAACTTGACAATGTAGTCGCTGCTCATCCTAAAATGTACAAGTTGTCAGAGTTCGTTGCCACATCGTGATAGAGTTGAACGTACTGCGACATGAGGACGATCTCGTCAATGAACTTTTGAACACTGCGCGCCTCCTGGTTCTTCATGCGCTTGATCGCGACCTGCTTGCCGCCGTACGAGCCGAGCCAGACTTCGCCAAAGGCACCGGAGGCGGAGCGGCTTGTTGGAGGTGACGTAGAGATCGGAGAGCTCGAGACGGTGGTGCAAGAGTGGCTTGACGTCGAGGATGATATCAGCATCAGGGTTTCCGAGAGAGCCGCGCGACCGATTGGTGCCGTTGGAAGGACCACCAGTGCCGTTGGTTCCGATCGTGCCGTTGGTATAGCCGCCCGTGCCATTGGTGTAGCCGCCCGTGCCGTTGGTGTAGCCGCCCGTGCCGTTGGTGTAGCCACCTGTCCCATTCGTGGGGTTGCCGGTGCCGTGGGTCGGGACGCTAGAGCCGTTCGTGTAGTTGCCGTAAGCTGGTGTGTCGCAGTGGATGTACTCGGTGGGCGGCTTGGGCGGGCTGCGCTTGCGGCGAAGGATGAAAAAGGCGATCACGCCGACGACGACGACGCCGCCGACAGCAACACCGACGATGAGGCCCGTGTCTACGCTCAATTGACTGTTGGCAGCTGCTGACTACATCATGAATAAGGACGTACTGGTGCCGCCGGGCGTCGGGGGCTCGGTCGTTGTCACATTGGCTACGTGCCACACCATGGTTATCCTCTCGAAAACGAGATGACGTTTGACGTACCCGACCCACCCATGACGCATGCCTCGACCGCGACCTTGGACGTGCTTTCCCAGAGCTTCTTGATCGAGCCGCCGGATGCTGTGCACGCAGCGGCGTCGGTTGCCACCGCGTAGTTGATGGTGTACCCCGCCGGCGTGTCGGTGAGCTTGTCTCCGTTCCATGGCTGCAGCTTATTGAGGGCCTTGTACGAGGGTGCATCGAGGTAAATGTCACTGAGCTTGGAGCAGTTGACGATGCTCCTACACAGCCGACGGGTGGTGAGTATGTCTTGTTAGCAGCGTTGTGCTTTGTGTACACAAAAGCGATATCGGAGAATTGAACGTTCATGATCTTGGTCAAGTCTTCGTTGTTGGACATGTACCTACGAACCTGCGTGAGCAAGCCGAGATGGCAAGAAATATTCCTACAAATATTTGACGCTGCGCAAGTCGGCGTTGCTAAGGGTCTTGAAATTGTTGGCGGCAATGTTCCTATCGGTAGAAATGGTAAACACTTGAAAAGTGGCGAATGGAATCGTACAAAAACACAAGATTCTTGGGCAAGTACACAAGGTCCGTGAGGTAGTTGCTCTGAATCGCCCTACAAGATACAGTAAGGTACTCTGGCGTGAGAAGAGAGAGTACAGTTGCGTAAGCGTCGTCGGAAGGTACTGCGGAATGTTGTTCATCACATTGTTGCTCAGCACGCTAAAGCAGCGTGCAGCAATTGACTGCTTGTATGGGACTTCTAACGTACACGAGGTCGAGGTTGGCCGGCCAGACGACGCCGACATTGGGAAAGTTGACCGGGCTGTTGAGAACCATCCTAACCATTTCTATGAGCTTGCATCCCATAAGCCCGCTTCCATGTACAAGGTTTTGACTGAGCCCCACTGCGTCAGCGCCGTGTTGGCGAGGTCGATCTTGGTCACATTGTCGAAAGTCCTAGCACCAACGTCGTTTCAGCATCCACACGGAGGCCAAGGCGAGCGTACAAGGTTTTCACGGTGTTGGGCAAGCTCATGCGCGCAATCGTGAGCGACGCCGAGTCCTCCATCGTCCTACGCGTCAGCATGAGCAGCAGCGGGATAGCTCGCGCGTACAGGGTGGTGTAGGTGTAGTCGGCAAGGTTGCCGACGCCCGTCCAGCCCGAGAAGGACGAGATGGTCGGGTATGTCTTGGTCGCGCTGCGATCGCACTTGTTGTTGGTCGCGCACGTGGTGAGCGACGACGAGCAGTTGCCGTCAGCGACGATGATCCATCCGTCCGGGTAGTCCTTGTACGGACAGACCGCTGCGTGGACGCCGACGACGGCGACGGCAGCAAGGAGCTTGGCAACGAGCATGCTTCTTGGCGAGTGAGGAGGATCAGCTGCCGCTGCGTTACTGTCACTGGACGCACAATCCGACACAATTTCCGCACGTGAAAATGAAAAAACACCAAGCATGTGAGGGCCCATTTCATTTGGTGTTTGTATGCAGTGAGGTGTGAAATTCATCCACGAATGGCGTTCGTCCTACGTGGCAACGTCTGGGCCCGCCATACGATAGCAGGTTCAAAGATTTCGATTTACGATTTCTGTGCATCGATTCTGGATTCATTTGACATTGCATCGTGTGAAGCGTCATTCTCGTGACGATGGAGCACATTTATCGTCTCGTTTGGGAGTTTAGGGACGTAGGCGTCAAACGTGCTTGGGCTCGACGAAGGAGGCGACCAGCCTATTGGGTGCACAAGGCAGGGTGCGTCTCATGCGACAGCTAGTACCGGTATCATACAGTAGTCCTAGCCTGGGTCTGAGCCTGGGCTGTGTTTTGAGTCGGTCGTCAATTGTACGCGGTTGTGCTGTCAACAAAACACAAGGATATGACAATGTCGTTGTCGTCACCACGCGAGCTACTGTACATTGGTACACAGCCAGCTCCAGATTCAGCGGTCGATGACAGCCTTGTCTGCATTTCGATGGATGGACTCCAGCGGAGGTTTCGGTATTATCGACGACAAGCACACTGTAAAACTACGGTGCATGTCGCCTATAGACTACTAGTATATTTGTTTTAAATTCGGCCTAGCCTTTATCCAGATCAAGTATATACTAAACTAGTGAGCAAGTTTTTTGCTCCATCCTAATACAGGCTCGTGTGAACTAGGTTGATCTTGTTGAAATGAGCGTTTGGCCCCTTTCGCCATTTTAGATCAACTCCAAGCTCATTCACTAAAACGCAATTGGGTGACCGTACCTTGTAAGTCTCAGATAAGTCAAGAGTCTTGAATTTATTATGGTGCTAGCCGCATCGTGTGAGAGCAATTTACAAACCGTACTGTGAAATCTGTACAGCTTTCGATCCGCTTCTTGAACCGGTATTCTCTACGCGTCTATATATATGAACGTGTTTCGCGTTATCTTCGTTGTTACAAAGAGTTCGCATACGTAGAGACTAGCAATCTCCTTTTTCTTCATTCGCTCGCCGGGCCGTGGCTGCGCAGGCGGCGGCGCGGGGGTGCATCTTGTTCTTCTGTAGTCGCGCGGGGGCGTTTGTGGCCGCGGGTGGGGCCCATGACGACAAGCTCCGTGGATTCCTTCCAGGCGTCGCGATCGGCGGCAAAGCTACGCAGTTTGTCGAGGTCCTCGAGAGACGCCAGCGACTGAGGCGGCGTCAACGACTGGAGGTCGCGGTGCAGGACGATCGGCAACGTGATCGTGGTGCGGCCTAAAAAACGGGGCGCCTCGGGAGCGGCAAAGAAGCGGGCGGCGGCAATGTTGGCAGGGACGTCTTTCTCCAGGCGCAGCACGTGACCCAGCAGGCCCCAGCGTTGGCGGGCGACGATCTCGCTCAGCGGGACACTCTTGCAGCGCTTGTAGAGTGCGACGTCGCCGAGCGTGTTCGGGTAA